CAAACCTACTTTCAACAACTATTTCCTCGTGTTGGTGTCGTAAGTTGTAACCGTTTCCTTGTCCGTAAACTTGAATTTTTGTTACTTTAGGAAAATGTTAAATTGTTTTGTTTCTCTTGGGGTACATACAATCCAATTTTGGGTTTATATATGAACTTATTTATAGCGTAAAATTATAAATGAATTTTAACTTAATACATAATATTTAAATAAGCTAAAAATCTTGATCAATTTCTTATGATTTAAAAAAAAAAAAAAATTCTTATGATTTTCCTCCTGTATGTATTCATCATTTAGTCATTGACTGTGGCCACTCTTACTAAAGGTATCAATAAAATCAGAGGTTGAGAAAAACAAACTATTTCCATGTTGGGTGTACAATCCGGATTGTAATTAGGTTTCGGTTCGGATTGTTCGATTTTAATATCCAAAGTTAAATTCAATCTATTATGAACATATTTTGATTTTGATTAAGATTCGGTTTTTAGTCAAAAATCTCCTTAATTTTGAAGAAAAAATTGGATTTTTCAATCTGTTTTTTTCCGAGATTGTTGTGCTGTGAATTCGGATTTATGATTTTTTAATAGAGGAAAGTAAACTATGTTAAAATGTTATTCAAATTTTTAATTGATTAATTCGGTTTGATGTGGTTGAACCAGACCGAGTCTGTCCTATCTTATGGGCCAAGTTGCCAAGTCTAAGCCCAATGGACGGCGGAGGATGCTCGGTCTCGAAGAAATTCAGGTAACTTGAGTGGTAATCTCGTAAATAACCCTGTTAAACCGTTGGACAATCAGAGGCATTTTGGTACTTTAGAATTTAGATCGTTCCTAACCGAAGCAGAGTAATAAGTAATGTACGTATTTTTTTTCTTATCTTTTTTTTTGTCGACTAATTAATGTACGTATATAAAACGTTAAAAAATTCGTTGTTTCTTTACATTTTACTGTGAAAAAAACCAAACTAGTTATTAAAGTGACAGTGAAATATCCTTTTCACTATTTTTGTGTAAACATCAAATTTGTACAAATGTTTTTGGCCCATGAATAATCCACAAAACAACAAAATGGTTACATTACTATTCCTACGTGGCTTAAACTCAGCCGTTTGGTCCACACAAATGGGCGCCACGGATTAAAATAAATACCCAAACCCGTAACTTTATCCTCATCTCATCTTCACCGTCCATTATTTAATCCAACGGTTTAAAATCCTCGGAAATCTCCAACACTATCTAATCCACGAAATTAAAACTCACATTTAAACAAAATAACAAATTCAGAATAAGAAGAAGCAGAGAGAGTGTGTTTGAGTGAAGTCTCTCAACGAAAAATGGCGACGTTTACACTCAAATCCTTCACCGGACTTCGTCAATCTTCACCGGAGCAAACCAATTTCGTCTCTCATGTACCGTCTTCACTCTCTCGCACCCAACGACGAAGCCCTCTCAAAGTAACCGCCGCTAGATCCAGTCCTAAACTCGCTAACCGGAATCTCAGAGTCGCCGTCATCGGTGGTGGTCCGGCGGGAGGAGCCGCCGCAGAGACATTAGCCAAAGGAGGTATCGAAACGATTCTCATCGAGAGAAAAATGGATAACTGTAAGCCTTGCGGTGGTGCGATTCCACTCTGTATGGTCGGAGAATTCAATCTCCCTTTAGATATCATAGATCGGAGAGTTACGAAGATGAAGATGATTTCTCCGTCGAACATCGCCGTCGATATTGGCCGTACGCTTAAGGAGCATGAGTATATAGGTATGGTGAGGAGAGAAGTGCTTGATGCGTATCTGAGAGAAAGAGCGGAGAAGAGTGGAGCCACCGTTATTAATGGTCTCTTTCTTAAGATGGATCTACCGGAGAATTGGGATTCGCCGTACTTGTTGCATTACACCGAGTACGACGGGAAAACTGGACCTGCTGGACAGAAGAAGACAATGGAGGTCGATGCGGTGATTGGAGCCGACGGAGCTAACTCTAGGGTTGCGAAATCCATCGATGCCGGTGATTACGACTACGCTATCGCGTTTCAGGTCAATTCCTTCCTCTCTTCCTTCGGTTTAATTCATAACCGCACTAATGCACCGGATCCCATCAGAATTACGCGTGTTTGGGGAGAGTAGTATTAAGATAGGTGACAAGTCCTCGTGTTGCACGCATTCTAAGTCGTAAAGATTAGAAATTAGTTGATGAATTTGGATGGAATCTTGAATTCGTTTTAGGATTTGAAAAATCATGTTTTTAACTGGAATTTTGAATTTTTTTTTCAGGAGAGAATTAGGATCCCTGATGATAAAATGACATACTATGAGGATCTAGCTGAGATGTACGTCGGAGATGATGTGTCGCCGGATTTCTACGGATGGGTTTTCCCTAAATGCGACCATGTAGCTGTTGGAACAGGGACTGTTACTCACAAAGGTGACATCAAGAAGTTCCAGCTCGCGACTCGAAACAGAGCCAAAGACAAGATTCTTGGAGGCAAGATTATCCGAGTCGAGGCTCACCCGATTCCAGAACACCCGAGACCACGTAGGCTCTCGAAACGAGTGGCTCTTGTTGGTGATGCTGCAGGGTATGTGACGAAATGTTCAGGTGAAGGGATCTATTTTGCTGCAAAGAGTGGAAGGATGTGTGCTGAAGCCATTGTTGAAGGTTCACAGAATGGTAAAAAAGAAAGATAAACCTTTTTCAATTTCTGCGTTTTGCGCTATAACGGATTAAGTTTAACGAATTCGAAATGCTGCGGTTTTTTTTGTTAAACAGGTAAGAAGATGATTGATGAAGGGGACTTGAGGAAATACTTGGAGAAATGGGATAAGACTTACTTGCCTACATACAGGGTGCTTGATGTGTTACAGAAAGTGTTTTACAGATCGAATCCGGCTAGAGAAGCGTTTGTCGAAATGTGCGGTGATGAGTATGTTCAGAAGATGACGTTCGATAGTTATCTGTACAAGAGGGTCGCACCGGGTAATCCTTTGGAGGATTTGAAGTTGGCTGTTAACACCATTGGGAGTTTGGTTAGAGCTAATGCTCTAAGGAGAGAGATTGAGAAGCTAAATGTTTAAGAAACAAAAAAAAATTGAGGTCTTTCTATCC